AACAAGCTCCTTCGGGACTCAGTTTGAACAATCAGACGACGCTTGGCAGAGCTGTCAGTCAGGCGGCGGCGGTTGCTAACAACGCCCCCGCTCTCGTTTCCAGCTGGAGAGGAAGCGTTTAGTGGACGGCCTTGGCGGGGTGGGGGGGGGGACTGTCTCCCCATTGACCCCTCTGGTCATCCTCACCGGTCTCTGTGAAGCACAAGCTTTCGCTTTCTGGGCAATCAGACAGATGACCTGAATGGGAGGAGACCTGTGAGAGAAGGAGAACAAAGAGGAGAGGGAGACATGGGGGGGGGGAGGTCACTGCCCCCCTACCCATTTCTCTGGTGGGGAGGCCTAATGGAGACAGTAATATGCAGCTGTGTCCTCGCTGCCTGCTTCAGACGTGTAGCGACTAACAGACCTTCATAAAGCACTTTAGGGTTTCCCATGATTACATTGCTGCTCAGATTGGTGATTACAAGATCTTTATAGCAACGGAGGTCACCCACAATAGAGAGGAGATCTAAATACAGGGGGAAGCCCAATGACCCCCCCTGGGCCCCCGGAATTGGGCTGAAAGCTCCTGTTCATCGCCTGACTGGACAGGCACCTTCGCCTCTAAACACTTTTCCTGACATACTCTTTAACTGGAGCACTGAGCACTTAACTGGAGCACTTTGAAGTGAAGTTTCTGCCAAATAAAAATGTCAGAAGCATTGAACAGCAGGGAGTCTCCTAGCGCCACAATCACTTGGGGTGGTTGCCATCAGTCAGCTCCTAACTGCGCCAACATCGTGCACATCTCCATCAGTCTCCATCTCCGTCAGAGCTCCCCCTGCTGGACAGTCATGGGGAACTGCAATTCACCAGAACAGATCAGTGTAGAGTCACAGCATGGTAAAGTGACCTGGAAGACTTAGAGAGCTGCTGAGATTGCATGGATTACGGATCTGCGATAGCTCATAGCCCTAAGTGTGTACACTGCTCCTGTATAAGGAATTAGCATTGTTCACCACACACTACTGACGTGTGTCTCAGGCAGTAGCAACAGGCACAGTGAAAAATATCACCCGGTCCATGTATTGGTTTTTACTGCTGCCCCCATCAAACCATACATAAATGATCAGATCAATCGCCGTCCTCTCAGTCCAGGCATTTCTATGCAGTCTGTCTAGTTAGCCCCTCATGCTTTGCTTGTCCGCTGCAGTCCCGACACCTACCTCTTTGATGTCGCTGCTGAATTCTTTTGAGTAAATATATGTGTTTGTAGGCGGTACATTATGGAATGCCATCGGAGTCAAGACCCTCAAAATTAACGTCACATTTGTACGCCTTAAGTACCCAACACGTGTTTTATACGCAACCACGATGTAGTATTTTGGACAGTCCATTTGTGTGGGTATCCATTTGTGCGGTAGTGATGGGAATTCCGGCTCTCTTTACCGAGCCAGACCATTTGGCTCAGCTCAGCAGTAAGAACCGGCTCTTTTGGCTGCCAGACAGTTCCTCATTTAGTACAATTTCTGGCTTCTATAATTAAGGCTGCCACCTGTCTCTGCTGTATGTACAGTACATGTACAGTGTACTGTATCTAATGACAATTGATCACGCTGCAGAAAATGGCTAAACGTCAAACTTTAGTAACTTGACAGATTAAAAAGAATAAAATTTTTGGTCATTCTTTCCAATCAACCCCATGAGATTTCGATCATGTTGTATGTTATGTGTCAAAGGATGTAGAGCTCAGAGTGAGTGGTATATATTGCCAACAAAATATGCATGGACTGTTTTAAAATAGATGGCATCTTTGCTAGCACATCAAGCTTATCAGGTAAGCATTACGCTACCTCCTCCCAGCTGCTAACACTGCACACCACACATATGAGTTCAAAATCAATCCTAAAGAATCTGTAACCTTTTTGCAGGGCAACTTCATTTATGAGCAGGGAACTTGGGGTCACCCATGAGATTGCCCTTTGGGCAACCTGAAAAATCCTTAAAATCGAGCAATGCGTTGTACCACATGTAGCAATTTTTGTATAAAGATAAATGAACAATGAATTCAGAGGCTATTTAATGTCTGGGCACCCCAAGTACATAGGCTACATGATGTTGGGGGAGCCAAGGTATATGGGCTACATGATGCTGGGGCAGCCCTGGTATACGGGCTACATGATGCCGGGGCAGCCCTGGTATACGGGCTACATGATGCCGGGGCAGCCCTGGTATACGGGCTACATGATGCCGGGGCAGCCCTGGTATACGGGCTATATAATGCCAAGGTTGGGGAAGAAAGACCAGCCCTCACATGACCGGTCCACTGGGAAAATCCCTGAACTTCCCGATGGCACAGATGTGGGCACTTTTGGCTGTAGCCACAACAGGATACAGTACTAGGCACAGTGGACTATGCCGTGTTCTGTGGTGTTTCGGCTTGGTGTAACCGTGCTCCCACCGGATTAGAACAGCTCAGGGCAGATTAGCTAATCGGGGACATTGTCTGTGTGCCGTGGCTCAAAGTTGGCCTGGGCAGGGTGTTCTTCAGCGCTGGATGACGCTTGTGCTATGGTTACACTGCTCCTAAAGCCCCTGACAGAGCCGTCCTCACAGATTGCCTGTTATGGTTTACATTTGCGTGCCCACTTTCAGGTCATATTCTGTTAAAGGAAAGCTATAAAAATAGTTTCACGTGGCCGATTTACACCCATAAAGTCGCAAAACAACAGCCGCAAAACGACAGTAAGGGAAATGCTCTGCTCTGGCCTTTTTTGGGTCCACCTGCCATGGCATCATGGGCATCTTAGTGACGTTTCTTGTTCAGCCAAGAGGCAGGATAGAGATTACCCCACTGCTGTCTCGTTGCTAATGAAATATAAAATAAAAGAAGATGCTTCCTGGAACAGAGGTATCTAAGCTTGTGAATATGATTTGATGTGAGTCCCATGTTTTATATTTCGCCATTTGTTAAACAGAGATGGAGGAAAGGAAAATCAGTCTCAGAAATGAGAAGGTGCTGACAGAACAAACATGGCCACCACCTTCCCTTCCTCATGGTTCCACTGTCCATTCTCCCTATTTGTAGGAAAGCCGGCAGTTGATTACAGAACATAGTGAAAGGCCTTTTAACTGCATTAGTGTCAAATGGCAGTGGGTGGAGGCAGGTCTATTCCTCCATCACTGATGAATTACTGGCCCTCACTAGTTAAATTCACATTGCTTGCCCACCTTGATTCGGGAGATGGGGGGGAGTTGGGGCACTGTGACCTGTGGTTGCCCCCCCCCCCCAAATAAAAAACCTCACCAGCTCACTTCTGTGCTGAATGGCTAAAATGCTCCAGGCAAAGGGGAGAACATGCAGGAATAATCAAATTGACTAGCATTTGATAAAGGCTGTGCTCTCCTCAATGTATCACCCAGTAGGGCAGATTATAATCAGTCACCGAATACGGGGCCTCTAAACGGATCTGGATTCGCAAACATATTGAGTTCTCGGTGCAGCTCAATCAGCCAAGCTGACGGGTAATTACTTAGCATGCAAACAAAGGATAAAGTAACAGCTAAATCTTTTTCACAGACACTGTTGTATAATCAACCCCCACTGCAGAATTATGAGATAAATAGTTTATATGCAGGTTCACTGAGTGGTCATCCAAGCCGATGTCTGTGAAATCTGTACGATGCCTGGCCTTCCATTTTTATCCATTTGATGAAGACATAAAATTTGTAAGTAGGCGACAACAATTACTGTGTGATCATTTTAACACTTGAGTGAACCTGAGAATTTGCTGGGACTTTCAGTATCATAGTGGAAAGTTTTGTGAATTTTCTGAAGTTCTTTTATGAGTTGGTCTAGATCTGCAGTTCTCATAAGCATATAAGAACAGGCAAAACGTACATGCATGCAGTAGATAGTCTACACACCCCTATGCAATCAAGGCATTGCGTTTGTTTAATTTCTATTTATTGTCTTAAAAATGAGCTACTTGTATGTTATGAGTTTTCCCTGCTTGAGATAGGATTGTGCCCTGATCAAGATAAGCAGTTTGAAATTGGGTGGATGGAATTAACTGGGTTTCTTGATTTAAATATTGTTGTAGTAAAAAGGGTTGAGAAGATTGTTCTTGATTGCAGCTTTTACGTCAACAAAAGCTGAAATCTCAACTTGGGTTTACAGTCTATTGAGATATCATGTACCTCATATGCTGAAAGTGATCAGTCCTAACAAGATGGATTGGCACCCTGTTCTGAGTTTTTCCCTGTGTTGCGCCTGTAGCATCTGGGATTGGCTCTGTTCCCTTGCAACCCTGCATAGGACAACAGGTATATCAAATGGATGGAAAGCAGGAGTTATAACAAGGCCTGGCTTATTCACTGTGCATCATATTTTTATATGTTCCTTCCACTTAAAATCGACAATCACAATGATTTGTATGTGTGTGGGTTTCTTGCAGTTATTCCAGATGTTTTCACTGATAGGAAGTCATGTTGACTAACTTGACCCAAAACTCACACTTCCCACTGAATCTGCGGGGTCCACTTCATTATACGAGGATGCGGAGTCTGTATCCGGCATTTTCTGCTTCGCTTCTCCATAAACTCCAGTCTAGCACGTGTCAGGATGTGCTTCTTTGAGGGATTAGTGGAAGGAAGGGCTCCAAGGACTTTCACTTTCAGCTGACTCATAATCTGGTGCTCTGACTCCTCCCAAAGTGCACCCCCCCCCCCCCACATTCCCATTGAAAGCTGGCAGTCAGACTGGCCGGTGGCTCACTTCCTTGGCACACTGACTCAGACCGGGCTGTGCGAGTCGATGCTGGTGTAACTGGGCGTCCTTGACGGGCCGAGCCATTGAATTTCCCCCCTCCACACTTCCAAATGCCTGCCATCCACCCCAGAGTTCCCGGCGGTCGCGGATAGCCGAAGCGAATGCATCGGAGACACCAAGCTCTTTAAGGGACACTCTCTGGAATTCCTTATGGATATGCTTTAGTCCTCACCCAATCTTCTCCATAATTTCCTGTGTCCCATGGCTGAAGATTAACCCTAGTTCCCCTTAGATCTCATCAATACCGTAAGCAGCATGGATGACATACCCAGGTAAGAAAACACTGCACCCTTTTCTATGTGCAGTTGATTGACCAAACACATGGCCAATTTGAAACTGCCCTCATTCCTGTTGTAGGAGTAGTTGGAATGTTTGATTACGTCGGCTGGTTAAGGCATAGTTTTGAAGCACTTTGCTTCTAACCCAGGTGACACGAGACCAGGTGATTATTATAACAGGATTGTTCTTTCGGAATCATTTTGATGTCTTTTTTTTTCTCTTTGTTTGCAAGTGCGCAAATACTGTTTAGCCTTGCACAAGGTTTTCGAAACATTGTTATATATTCATGGAATGCAAGGCCACAGCTTGAAGATGATATGATTTGTGTTTGTCTAGCAGCATTATGTTATAAACGACTATGCATCTCAGAAGGGGATGAGGGCTGCCGTTGGGCTCCCCAGACCTTGATTGCTGGTGACTTGCCCCGTGCCTCCACCACCATTTGACCTTTAGGGTGTGAGCGTAAGGTCAAAACTGGGAACACAAATAGAAAGTAGATCCTCTCTCAGTGTCACCTTGTCTCCAGAGCCTGAAGTCACACAGTGCTCCACGTCAGCCCAGGATGGGGACATCAGGCCAGCGGACAACCATGATCAGACTGGCTGGGTAACAGACCCGGTTAAGCTTTTGCAGATGGCCTGCTTGCGCCGGTGCCTTTTATTGTCTTTGTAACAGACCACACCGTCTCACAAACAATTTAGTTCAACCTTTAGACAGTCTTGAAGGTTGTAGATAATATATTTTATTGGCTTAATGTACTAAGAACCTGCAGTATGATGTACTAAATGAAGAATTATTCGGTAACAATCCAATTAAGGAATTCAGAGCTTATAAGCATCCCAGGGTTTGACCCCCTTTGATTTTGAACTTCTGAGTCCTTATTTTGGCTTTATTTGTGCTGGAAAGGTCAGCCTTATGAGGATCGCCATCGGAGACGGCAGCTTCTCTGCTTTCCAGGTCTAATTGCCTCACAGTGGTCTCCGGGCTGGTCTTTGTGATGTGGTGTGGGTGTTAGACCATTCTTACAAGAATCTGTATAATTGTGTGTGTGTGTCTGTGTGTGTGTGGGGGGGGGGGNTCGCCATCGGAGACAGCAGCTTCTCTGCTTTCCAGGTCTAATTGCCTCACAGTGGTCTCCGGGCTGGTCTTTGTGATGTGGTGTGGGTGTTAGACCATTCTTACAAGAATCTGTATAATTGTGTGTGTCTGTGTGTGTGTGGGGGGGGGGGGTTGAGTAACCTGGGTGACCATGAGGCCCCACAACTTACCTCAAAGACCGCTTAATCCCTAACCTAATCATGCCCCTTAATTATATTCCTCTTGACCTTTACTGGAACGTATCCACTGTTGTGCAATTGCTTTGTGGGCTAGCTTGGAGCTGCCCCCCCGTTTGGATGCGATTAATGGATAATTTGGGAGAAGATGGGGTGGGAAAGGGAATCCCAAGAACAGTCAACGCAGGAATTCTGTCTGCGGGAATATGTACAATAACTACTGTCCTCTTAGGTATGAGTAACACTGTCATCATTAAAATTTATCATTAAAGAAATGGAATCTAATAGTAATGTGGAGAAATGCTAAAATATAACAGAACACAAGGATCTGACCTGCAGCTGTGTTCCATGTTTGGAGCTCAGTGTTATATAAAACACATAAGATTACTTTAGACAGGTCTATGTGCCCAAGAGCTAGCAGACTGGCCGTGAGCCGGTGAGGTCCATGATGAAGTCCAGTGACCTGTAAGCTTCACGTAACATCTGACCTTGCATTGGGTTGGGAGAGGTCATGTAGAACACAACGCCTCATTAACTAATCAATAAATATATGTTTAGTGGACAAAACATTGAAAATTATTGATAGAGAATGTTTCATAGACTACATGAAATATCTACTACTCTGCAGGTGGTAAAAATCTACTGCAAAAATGGGGATGTTCAGCTCACAGCTGGACATGACATTTGTTCAGAATCTGGGGTATAGAGCTAAACTGAAATGATACTTTGACAGTTTTCACACAGATAGCCGTGGTCTCTACTCAAAATGCGCATGTAGTGCATTTGCGTTTGAAATGAAGTAGCCCAGCTTCCGTGTGCAGCTCTGCAGGTTTAAGGGTTTGTGGCTGTGATTGGAAGGTTGCCAGTTCAAATCCCAGGTTGAGCAGAGCGATTACACTCCGCTGACCCTTAACCCCAATTACTCTGGGGATTTGTGACCCTGCTCTCTCTGTTGAATGTTGCTTTGTATATAAGCCCATAATAAAATAAAGATTGTGATTAGGTCTCTCAGTGTGTTGTGAGAAGGTTGTTATGGCCCCTTTTTACTGTATGTCCATTCATCTCTCAGCTGCTTATCCGCTGCTGGACTGCAGTGTGCAAACAGCTGTTCACAAGAAGCACTGAACACACTGCAGCGGACAGCTCAGGTTAAAGGTCATTTAATATTTTTGTTTAATACAAACCCCTAAGTGCCCACAGTTCATGCATATATAAATCAGTATGGAATTTCAATAGCCTAATAATAAAAATCAGGGCCTTAATCAGCGATCATCACCACGGCCAATTCTAACAGACATTATGAACAAAATAAAAATTTTTACACAGACATTTAGAAACGTAGCATGCATAGTTTTTTTTTTACCATGGACACAGACGAGTCTTGCCACAGACACATTTGTCTGTATACAGACAGGTTTACGATCCCTGGGATTAATGCCCGGTGACTTATTAGAGAATTGATCAAAGACTTTAGCAAAGCTCATGTGTTTTAATAATTCATTATAGAATTCCAGCAGAAATACAATTTCCAGCTTCCTGTCCTGTACAGATGTCATTGTCCAATTTTGTTATGGCGCGGCATGACGCAAGCGGGAAAAATGTGTGACGATCTACTTGCAGCTCCAAAACACAGAAGGGTTTTATTTAAGGGAAGTAAAGAACACTGGGAATCACACAAAATAAAGGAAAATAAAGGTCAGAAAACTATAACAGAACAAAAATAAGCTAAAACAAGCTACAAAAAAACCATAAGGGAAACACAACTGTCAGGGCAACACAGAGAGCAGAACCAGGAACAGGATACAAGGACCAAAGCACATGGCAACATTACATCATCACTACAATGGCAGAATAAAGCACAGAGGGAGGGAAGACACTTTAATACAGAGGCATCCAGAGAAAACAAGGAACAGGAGTAACCTAATCAATGAACCAATCAAGGGAGACACAAGAGCAAAGAGACAGCAGTGGACACAATAACCCTAAGAACACACAGAACTTAGATAATTAATAAGCACTAAAGGCTAAGAATCTACAGCAAGGACTATGGGAAACACCAGCAGGAAATACTACAAATAAGAATATACAGAAATAATCACAATAAACCTGGGGAAACTCTACAATAAGGAAACATAAAAGAAACACTAGAGAACAAAAATACAGGTGAGACTGGCCTCAAACCCATGACACAAGGGAACAGTATCTGAAGCACACTCTCAGCCCACTGACCTATGCAGTGCACTAGGGAAGACTAGGAACTCAGACAGGGAGGGGAAAAGGTGGAATGACCAGCAATGCCTGCTGGCCAGATGTGGAAAGGTCATAGAGGGTGAGGTCGGACGGGTGTTGACCCTGACATAATTTATCCTGTCAACTATGATAAATATGACAAACTGCTTGCAGTATACATTCGGAAAATAGAAGTTTCCGAATGTATGTTTGTGTGTACATTTCGTACTTCCTTTCTGCAATTTATCTGCGTGCCACCATGTCAATGAAAAAGACCCACATCTGGTTCCTTAAAACCGATTTTCAAAAGTTGTTCTGTCACTGAAGTCACTGTATAATTAAGCAGCTGAGAGCGATTCTTGAATAGTGTCTGTTAAGGCAGGGTGGCTTTTCCGATGCAGTTTTTTTAATTTTATCGTTTAAAAGTACTAATCTGCTGTAGAAAAGCCCACTGGGACTGCACTGCATTTTAAGAACTTTCTGATCTTCATCTAATATGGGGTGGGGTATTTGCCACCTTTGGTCCTTCTGTTGGGGTATCTGTCATCTTCTGCCGTGGATGAACCAAAGCCAGAGCAACCATGTGGGGCAGAGTCTTGCACGGCTATTTTCTGTCTTCCATCCATGTGGATCTGCCAACATGAACCGTAAAAGCAAATGAAAAAGATGCAGGTCAGTGTGCAGTGACATGTCTGACTTGCCTTTCCTCTCCCCGCAGTGCCAACGCCATGCCTAAGCAGGTGGAGGTGAGGATGCACGAGAGCCAACTGGAGCCCATCGATGCACCCCCAGCCCCTGTATGTGGGGGACTCTGCCAGAAGCTATGCAAGAACCTGCTGCTCACGTTGACGATTTTGGGTCAGTATCAACCCCTTCACCCACACTCCTGCAATTTATCTACGAAAGAAACATACTTTATCTTAATCCACCAAAGAAGCTGAAACACGTGAACCTGCCATCTTTCCTCCTAAGCACATATTCTGGTCCCTGGCGGTGAAGGGCAAGAGACTGGTATACTCTCCACATGTCCACATACACCATTGGCAAAGTGACACCAGTTAGCAGTGATGGACAAAATGACGCTCCATAAGCCATTTGTTGTAGCTAATAAAAGAAGGGATGCTAATCTGACTGCTACGTCTCTGATGGGTTAATGCTGGGCTGTATGAATGCATCACAGCTGTACAAACGAAACGACTGTGTGATGGTGCAAGTCCTCCCATAGCAAAACACATTCTGTCTGTACATGTGTGTGTCGAGAGGCAGAGCCACGTGAAGTGGAACTCACTGCCATATGCACAGGAAAGCAAATGTCAGTGGATTAGTGCTCATTAAAGGCAAAACTGGATATTCCTTGTATGAGTAAGGATTTAATTTTGACTGGAAGGGTTTGGTGTAAACGAGGTACTGAAGTTATTTCCCTAAAGGACTAAGATTAAATTTAGTGTGTATAGTCTAGATGACCAGGTTCTGCCATTGTCTGCCTTGAGAGTTTTATCTTCTACAAGGTGGCACCATCTTTTGATTCTCTTTGATACAATCTAGAGACAATCTAGCTGCAACCATGTCTGGAAAAAAGCAGTGAAAAACGTTCTTCCACCTTGGACGTGAAATTGCTGTGATATTGTCACTGGAGGAGAAAGAGGAGGTTTGTAACAGAAGTTAGCTCTGCGGTTGGACGCCAGAGAAATCTCTCTGTGCAGATGTTCGGGCTGCCTAATTAGAGTGTGGGGTAACACTCAAGCCTTTACTTGTCATTAATTGAGCAACTTGCACAAATGTCCTGGGGCCTGAAGGGCTGCAGATGCTTGTTTCTCCTCGCTTACATGTCCTAACTGCTTGATTTAACTCCTCTGAGAAGTTGTGCTATTTTGTCTGAGATAACAACTGTTCTGTCTAAAAAGTTTGACAACTGACAGCTTTAGTAAGAAACTTCTCGTCAGAAATTGAGCACAGTTCACTTCTCAGAGCTTCTCTGATTTTCTTTTATTTCACATTAAAATAAATTCTGAGAGTGGTTCTTATTTGCTTATTTCTTGGCCTCTCCTTAATCCAGCGAAAGTTCAGAAACTGACACAAGAGGTTGAAGGATGCTTGTATTGGCTGTTTCAGGTGTGATCCTGGGCTCTGTGGTGGGGATGCTTCTACGTTATGCCTCCCCTATCCATCCCGATGTCATCATGGTCATCGCCTTCCCCGGGGACATCCTGATGAGGATGTTGAAGATGCTCATCCTGCCTCTCATTATCTCCAGTTTAATAACGGGTGCGGTGAACCAACCATTTCTCAGCTGTAACGCTCAGAGGCAACAATGTATCTGAGCTGTCAGACAAAATTTCATTCATTTCATGCTAATTCTGCTATATCGCTTCGTTTCCAGGGTAGACATGCCTCAAGCCATCACTGATGGTCTGTTATTTTTAGCCGTACTGTAACCTAAAAGTGCAGTGACTGAGAGATACTGCTGATATGTCTCAGAGGACGGGTGGCGCCCCCTGCTGACATGTCCACACTGCCTGTGTCACTCCAGGGTTGGCCGGTTTGGACGCCAAGTCCAGCGGACGCCTGGGTACTAGAGCCATGGTATATTATATGTCCACCACCATCATTGCTGCTGTGCTGGGCGTGATCCTGGTGTTGATCATCCACCCTGGCAACCCGAAGCTGAGGGCCCGTCTGGGTGAGGGAGATAAGAACGATGAGGTCTCCAGCCTGGATGCCTTCTTTGACCTCATCAGGAACCTCTTCCCGGAGAATCTTGTTCAGGCTTGTTTCCAGCAGGTATCCTTTTTTATCTGAAAGCGCTGAAGTATAACTCAATGATATAAGATTTGGAAGATGGAAATAAAAACTGGAATGGAAAGAAAAAACAATCTACCTTTACCTCCACAGATCCAAACTGTCACCAAGAAGGTGGAGCATGTTCCTGACTACACAGAGGAAGTGAACTCCACCATGGATGAGTTTCTGCTTAATGGCACCAGGCCACCACCGGAGCCTGTCTTTGTCACCAAAAAATCCCTCCAGTTCAAGAGTGGAATGAATGTATTAGGTGAGAAATCTGTCTCAGCTTGAGTACACACACAGCTTAGCTAGCAAGCTAACTAGTCCACTAAAAAAACATCGCTGAACTTGATATTTAAACAAATGATCAAACTGAAAATTCAACCGCAACCACTATTTACAATATTTTTTTAAAATGTCAGTGGCTAAAGACACAAAAAGATAAACTGTCCCTCTGGGTTTCAGCAAAATGTGTCTGTGCTCCTGTGCGCGACGGAATGGATGAATGCTGCAAGCCAACACTGCCGACACTAAGTGAAAGTCATGAGCATTAATGTTATTGGTAGTTAATCCTGTCTTGTGCAGAGAAGCCTGGCTTCTGGGTGGGTTTAAAATATCTGACAGCAAGTCTATCTATCCAGTCAACGTTAGCTAAGCAAAAACTATTTATGAAGCTCTCAAAGACTCCCAGTGAAGCATGGTGACCGGACAGGCTCCGAAAACACGTAATTAGAGCGTGTTCATCAATAAGCTTTCATCTATTTTCCTTTTAGAGAAAGCATACAAGAATCTTCCATATACTTCCAGTGAAGCACGGCTTCAATGGGCTGTGTTTGTCCTGGTTTCAATGGGAAAATTAACGTATATGATCAGTGCTGTGGTTCAGTTAGTAAGAGATTACACCTTTAATCTCAAATAAAAATAATTTACATTGATCCACTGCATTATTCAAATGTCTTAGAACAATCGCTTGTGATACAATGTATACGATATATGATACTAAGGTGCTGACTATATCTGACATAAGGTGTTGTTTTTACTGCTGTTCTAAGCATGATTGATGGCATAGTTAAGCCATTTTAATCTTAACTTCACCGCGGGTGGATTCCAGGGCTCATCGGCTTCTTCATCGCCTTCGGCATCTGCATGGGGAAGATGGGGGAGAAGGCCAAGCTCATGCTGGACTTCTTCAACATCCTCAACGAGATCGTCATGCGGCTGGTCATAATGATCATGTGGTCAGTTTCTCCTCAGCCTCATGGGGGGGGTGACCATCCACTGGGTGTCTTGGTTACAAAAGAGGTCATTTATTGCAACAGAACTAGACCAATAGGAAACAAAAGGGACTACAAGGGATGAAAACGAAGGCAGGTAGGTGAAACGAGGATTAACAAGGGCTGGGAAAACGTGCAAGGAGAGACAGGGATAACCAAGAAAACATGAGACAAGGACCAATACTGGATTACGTGAACACAAGATAATTCAGGGGAGAACAAAACTCACTGGGCAGCCTTGAACCCACTATGGTTGGGATGCATAGTTCGCAGCCACATGCTCAGACCTTTCAGCTGTACGGCGGCCCAGGGAACTGGGAAAAAGGCATAATAACTAAGAAAGTACTAAAGCAAGGGAATCACCTGGGAAACGGGATGGCCAGTGACACCTGCTGGCCAAACAGGGAAATGGAAGAGAGAACAGGACAAGGCGGAGCTGATCCTGACACGCAGCATGTTTCCATTTTCCCCATGCACTCTGATAGACCTCACTCTACAATGGCAGCCTTGTGCTGGCTCTTATAAACGGTTATCTTATGGTTAGTGTGACGGAGTGTGTGGACCTACTGCTGGCTCTCTCTACTTGCTGAGAGCAACTGCTTAAAAACTGTGAGTTAAAGCCTTCCGGTACTGTGAGTTAAACCCTTCCTGTACTGGTATTGGAGAGCTGCAATATTTGATACATGCTTAAATACATCAAGAATTATATGAATAGATTACTTAGGTCCTAAAGCAAGATGGTAATCACCCGCTAGTTTGGAAAGTGTAGGAAGGTCCCAGTGAATTGAGCTTTCTTCCTTCCCTTCTGTCTTGCTAAGGTATTCTCCTCTGGGTATCGCCTGTCTGATCTGTGGGAAGATCATCTCCATCAAGGACCTGGAGGTGGTGGCCCAGCAGCTGGGGATGTACATGGTGACGGTGGTGGTGGGTCTCATTATCCACGGTGCCATCTTCCTGCCGCTCATCTACTTCGCTATCGTCAGGAAAAACCCCTACTCCTTCTTCATGGGCATTTTCCAGGCGTGGATTACAGCCCTGGGGACAGCCTCCAGGTATGGGTGCCTGAAACCTCCAAATTTGGTACATAATGTATAGATGCAGGTCTTGATCTATATGGAGTCAGTTTACACAGGAAATATTGGCTCATTCTCTGCAAGCAGAAGCGCAAGAATTTTATCAGCTACCTTAGTGTCTGTTTTGTTCGACGCTCTGTCCCATGTAACTTTGTCATCCCCCTCCCCGCCCCCCAGCGCTGGCACGCTGCCCGTCACATTCCGCTGCCTGGAGGAGAACCTAGGGATCGACAAGCGCGTCACTCGCTTCGTGCTCCCCGTCGGCGCCACAATCAACATGGACGGCACGGCGCTCTACGAGGCTGTGGCGGCCATCTTCATCGCACAGATGAACGGGATTCACCTTGACGCGGGACAGATCGTCACCGTGAGGTGGGGCTCCCCGTCCTCATTCGCCGGCACCTGTGTCGGTCCGTCGGGGATCATTTTTGGGCCCAGTCAGGCGACTTTACCAGGGAAAGTTCATTGTGGATGACATGCCTGCTTCTTATCCCTCTCTATAGTCTAACAGCTACTTTGGCCAGTGTGGGGGCAGCCAGTATTCCCAGTGCCGGCCTAGTGACCATGCTGCTTATCCTTACCGCGGTGGGACTGCCCACTCAGGACATCAGCCTGCTGGTGGCTGTGGACTGGCTATTGTGAGTAAACTCCTCGTGTGTTGCCAAGTGCTGCATACGCAGACAGGTATAACCTCAAATCCTCCATACCTAACCGGAGATGCCCCAAGCAGCATGATAACATTACTACACTATTAGGACAAAATTGTGGAATCACCTAGCATTTTTGGCATTGCGCTTTTGAAATTACTACATGAATACTGGCGGTAATGTTTATAAATAATCAAAGAATATTGCAGATTTCATACATTGGACGATTAAATAAGTAACTGGAGCAACAGTTGGATAAGGTTCTGCAGTCTCTAAAAACTGGAAGTATTTCCACAATTTTGGCCATAAGAACATAAGAAATTTACAAACGAGAGTTGGCCATTTGGTCCATCAAGCTCGTTTGGGGAGAACTTAACTAGTGTAATATGTAGTGTTTAGCTTAACACTGTGCATGTAAGAGATGAAACTCCACTCCCCCCACCCTATCCGTCTCTCGCCCACCAGGGACCGCTTCCGGACCTCGGTCAATGTGGTGGGCGATTCCTTCGGCGCCGGCATCGTTTACCACCTATCCAAGCAGGAGCTGGACAGCCTGGACGCTCTGCAGGGCAAGTCGGAGGACATGGAGATGACCAAGACGCAGTCCTACTACGAAGACCTGAAGAACCACCACGAGAACAACACCAACCAGTGTGTGTATGCGGCTGACGTCTCCGCCCCGGAGGACGAGTGCAAGGTACCCCTCACCCTCATGGACGCATGAAGCAGCGTCTGCCTCATTCTCTCACATCTGCAGCTGCTTATATTATTTAATACTGCATCTTTCCATGCACTGATTACGCTTATGATCATTTGGAATAGCAGTTTTTATGTCTTTCATGTATTATATACCCATTTACTTGTTGCAGTGGGCTAGCCCTGTTCATTTTATTGTACGTAGAGAGGAGTATGTTTAGGAGAGCTGTTGAGCTTTTACTGTGGGTATTTCACAGGCCCTAGATACACTAAATAGGGCTTTAGTGCAGAGTTCTTCAACTCTGGACCTCGATTCCAAATCCAGGCCGTGTTTTCAGTTCTCCCAGGTAGTTGTTTAATAGTTACTGATTCTGATTGGTCAGAGGCTTCACACCTGACTGACAGGTAAAGGAAGGCTGGAAAACCAGCAGTGCTCGGACCTCGAGGACCGTGAGTTGAATAACCCTGCTTTAGTGCATTTAAGCTGCGTTTGTAAACTTTACTTTCACAACACAGCATTTCAGGATTTGTGGTCGCCCATAAACAGTCATGGCTGCTAATTGAGATGGAGATGAGGGGAACGGCAGTGCTCCCCAGTCATTTAATGAATGTTTGTAGAGGTTCTCCGAGGTGGTCTGTCCTTATACATATAAAAGAGAATGGAGACTGCTGTAACCTTCATGTAGATCTGCGTGTTAATCTGCCGCATGGTTCCCATTAAGCGTTTCTGAAGACTCCCAGGACTGACTGAGCCTGGTTTCTTAAAAAGAAAAAAAAAAAAAGTATGTCGATTTGGAGCTCCTACTAAATAAATGTAAAGGAGCTCCGTGGTATTTGCAGGTAGGGTGACCTCATATTGTTGGGGGGTTTATATGAATGTTCAAGTCTAAAGTTTAGTCAATTGAAGTCGGGATTATATCCCATGTGTTGCTCTCGTTGCTATGTGAGATAAGGCTGTTGTTTTGGGGAGAACCATTATGGAAGGAGCACACCCCCCCCCCCTTTATCCTAAATATAAGGGTTATATGCTTCCATTTACAGGGGACATTTCCCGCTAATATTTGCTGCCATTGAGTATCTAGTTATGAAATTAGATATTAGGCCAGTGTTTCTCAATCCGGTCCTCGGGGACCTGCAGACAGTCCCACATTTTTGCTCCCTACCAGGAGCTGGGAAGAAGCAAAAATGTGGACCGTCTGACAGGGAGCTTGGAGGGAGCAAAACTGTGGACTGACTGTGGGTGCCTGAGGACCGGATTGGGAAACACTACATTAGACAGATACTGTGCATAAGCATCATATACAACATAATCCCACTGGTCTAATGAAAAATTACTACTTGCCCATACTACTTGCCAATGAGAATTCCCATTTCGCAGAGCCGCCTTAACAGAAGGTTTGGGCTACATAGTTAACGCTCAATACTCAACATTAAAAGCTGGCTCCTTCTTCCACATGCGGTCATTTCTGACTGATAATCGGTAAGGTGTCGCAATTAGACAATATAGTGCCGTGTGTAAATGCCCCCGGGGTGGGAATGTGGGATGGGGGAGGGGCGGATCAGTGGCCTGGGGCAGGAATAAGGGGAGCGTGCTTTATCTTGTGTGACCATCAGGACGGATTTGGATTGTAGGGCTGTCACTGAGAAAGGCTGTTGGTGACACGATCGTTAGAGTTGCCTGGCAACACCTCTGGCTTCTCTGCTCATTTAAGACACTGGATGGGGACGTAAAAGCTGCTATTCCATGAATCTCTCCTGCACGATTTCACTCAGTGTATCAAAAGTTAACATGTACATATTTGTTCTGACTTTATTTTTTCTACATTGCGCTTCTTTGCATGCTGTAAATGTGTCTGTTTTTCACCGTCTAAGAGAGAGAGCTGAGAGCTGAGTGTTATCGCCTGTAATGCACGTCACCCTCGCAGCTGTTTGGTTCTGTGTTTTGCTCCTTGCCCGTCCATGAGACCGTGTTTCTTAGTGAGCTTGCTGAGATGTAGCTTGATGGTCAGTCGGGGCTCATTACTCACGTAGCACTGCGCCGCTAAACTCCGCCCCTTTGCCATAGCCGTAATACCTGTCTTTCCCCGGTGCAGAGAAACCACACCGCACCAGGCCTGTGACCCAGCTAGGCCTGCTTTCTGATTGATATGCCTCATGATTTATGATGTTTGGCCGTCGCTGTCGCTTTAATGAGATAAAGACTGCCTCTGACTGAGGCATCCGAATGAACGAGGCCTCAGAGGTTGATAGGTGCGGCTTCTCTGCCCAACATCGATGACTGACTGGTGGGTGACGTGACTGTTAGCCGCTTGGCCGTGCCCTCAGATGTTCCTGATAATTGCTTGCAGGTGACTCTGGCTACCAACGGCTCCACGGCAGAGTACACGCTTGTCGAGGAGGAGCCATGGAAACTCGAATAAGGATGAACACACATCCCCGGCTCTGCCTTACGCCACGTTCCACAAGCTTTCCTGTTGACAAAAAAAAAAAGTAATACTCATGTAAACAGAACCGTTTTTGTTGAAGCTCAAATACTTTAAAACCTCTTTCGACCAACCAGTTCTGATGGACAGAAGTGACAAAACACTCAGATGAGAAACAAGCGAGCTATCTTTCCATCTTCACGAGTCCCACGTCCCCAGGGATCAGCTGCACAAGGCACACCCCAGGGGGGTGGGAAGGGACGACTGAATTTTACCACAGAGCATGCAGGCTCACACCTTGGGTGAGAGATCCATCTGATGAAAAAGGTGGGGGGGGGGGGGGGGGGTTGATGTAACTGCACAGTAGTCACGACACAAGCGTTAGTGGCATTATTTCTGTGTGTAGCTAAGCAGTCGGGGGGGAGGGGGGGGACACTTTAAGGCAGAGACTCGGAAGCAGCTTGTTGTAGCATCTGTCTTTTCACCGTGAACCACGAGACCTCGGAATTCTTGGAAGGAGTCAATATATTACCTCTCCCTGTTGGCTAATACCACAAATGCACAGTCTGCTGCTGGGGGGGGGTGGGGGGGTTGGCAGAAGTACGCACAAGGTACAGCCATGGTGGGGGGAGGGGGGCACACAGGGGAGGGCTGGTGTAAATTAAAGCATGAACCTTGTAGCTTTGTTTGCCCTTAGGGTTGGGGGGAGGGCCAATGGTGTTCCGTATGTGTCTGTGTGTATGTGTTTGTGGGTGGGGGGTGGGGAGGGGGGTGCTTTGTCTCCCCCGCCTTGATACTGGGACCAAAACAATCATATCAAATCACAAAATGAGAGCCATCTTTTATAGGCTGCCTGCTGCCAAGCCGCGTGAAGCAATCCAAAGCGACTCTCACCCTCATTACCATACGATCTGAGGGTCGTTTCCTTCATTAGCCACCAGGGGAAACTGTGTGAGTGAATGTCAAGTCGAACCAGAGGAATCACCCATGCCTGCGATAAAGACCCTTGGCAGGAGCAGAGCGAGGTGAGGGGAGCAGTCGTGAAGTAATGTTTATCCTTGGATCTCTCTGATGAGGAAACTGGGCCGGCACCCAAACCCCAAGGCGTGCTTTACGTCTCTGCATTATATGGTCTGTTAAGATTACCATGGCCGTTGTCATGGAAGAAGCATCTCTGCCGTGGTGTTTCCACACAGGTCCAGTCACTTCGTCACACTAACCATAACATGACTGTTTATAAGGGACATTAAGGATAGCGCCCCCTACAGTGCATCACCAGCCTCCGGCTCATCTACATAAAATTCCTAACAAAGCTAAGAACGTTTTTTTTCCTCTGGTTGTCTCTGAAACATACTACCTTTTATAATGAAACTTGAACAAAGTTTTCTGATTTTATGTTTTCTATCTGCACAAAACAAGGAGTCTATAATTAAGCACAACATCTATGAAGACAAATATTCATGAAAGTGTTCTGGTAGATAAGCACACCACACGAAGGCTGCCAGTAACAGCACACAGCTGGGGACACGAGGATGAACGCAAAACAGAAGCCAAATGGCACAACAGTCAGCAAAAAAAAAAACAAGAAAGAAGCACAATATAGCTCTCTAGCGCCCCAAGTGGCAGAAAGTGTGCATTGAATGCTGGATTTGCACACTGCACTGTTCTTAATAAGGGATTTGACTTGGGGACCAGTTCAAACAGCTGGCCTCTTTCTACAAGAGCTTACGACTGTTCGTATGAAGCCCCCAGATGCTGCAGCGTATTTTTAAACATCGGCCAGATGCGATTGTCAGGAAGACCGAGGCCGGGGTGCTGACTGGAGCCCCTGAAAGTGACACAGGACAGAGGCATGACATCATGCAGCGTAATTATCTTCCTCTCTCGGAATGAAACGGCTAAACGCCCCAGTGGGACCACCCGTTTGTCTCTGTATCCGTGAACATGTGTATTTGTGTGCGTGCGTTTACATGTTTGTGTTAGCATCCGTGTTTGCGTGTGGAGCTGCCCGTCTAAATGTTTTCTTTTTTCTGTGTTTTTTTTTTTTATTAATTATACCTTGCCTTGAAGATCTTAATTGTTATCTGTGCTGCAGTTGATGACACTTATGAGTGCTGCTTACAGTTGTGCTGTCCCTGTCACAGTCACCTCTGTAGTTACGAAAGAGCATGCGTTTACAGTGACCCAGTGTCCTGCAGTGCCATGCCACTAGCTAAGGAAAGCAGATGCACTCTTTTGTGTTTTGCAGGATGGTGCTCCCGCATCTCACATACATTTTAGATCACGGCTCTCCAGCTCCAGTCCGGGAGAGCTACTGTCCAGTAGGTTTTCCATCCTACCTGGCTTCTGAGCCACACCTGTTCAGGATCAGGGGCAGGTGTGGCTCATCAGAAGCCAGGTAGGACAGAAAACCGACTGGACAGTAGCTCTCCAGGACCGGAGTTGGAGACCCCTGTTTTAGATGTTTTTCACAACACGGTTCAGGAATATTGTGCAGGACATACTTTCATATCTGCGGTAATGAAGGGAAATCCGTTCCCATCTTCAGGTAGATCTCAGCTGTTGTCGCAGCATGCTCACTGGGGGTGCGGGGGTGTCCACTGGACAGCATTCCACATTACTGAGTGCAGGAGGCACGTGACATTGTCAGTGTCTATACTTCCTTTGAACCAATATTTCAAAGTATGGTAAAGTGCCTCATTGCACTTTGTGTACATACAGTAGTTAGGCGTCTTTTTTTGGTGTAATGGATAGTGTTTACTTGCTGTGATGGTTTTGTAACCTTCTAGAGAACTATTGGCCCTATTCTTCCTAAAAACATAGATAAAAAGTAATTTAGGTATATATAAAGACCATTCAGTGTTGCTTGTCTTTTGTGTTTCTGTAGTTACTTACTTTCTTGTCTTACATAGCTGTTAAACACCCAGGGTATAATTTTGTATTTAACACAAGCATTTCAGTTGTTCAATGAAGGTATTTCATCTGCATTCATTCACGATCGTCATAATAATATATGAGTAAGTACTTTTGACTGAATGCAATGCACAGTGTTCCACGGATAACGTAGACTCATCTCTCATGTGGACAGCATGATCAAAGTCGAAAGAAACGGGAAAAAGGGGCAGAATTTGGTTTAAACATGCTATGATGATGTATGTTAGGGTGGTGACTTGATTTGTGGTTAATATTGTAAAAGTATCTAGATTTACCGTCAATTGTATGTGTTAAAAATGAATCTTTATGTCAGTTGTGGCATGCCTAATCCCAGTGGAAGTAAATATGTTTTAAAAAGGAAAGTGGAAAACTAATCAGAAGCTGTTCTAAAATAACTATGTCAAACTGGCATCCAACTACTATTGAGGAGAACTCTGAAGTATCTCTGAAGTTCATTTTGTCCTCTGAGATGTTCAGAACCCCTTTGCATGGGAACAGGGTGATCTGTCTGTGGTGGAAAGTTATACTCAACAATAACAAGAACAGCTGTTGCTTCAGAATTCCTCATAATCATAGAAACATGCCAACATTAAACATTTGCAGACTAATTTGTATGGTCAAAGTGAAATTAAGCCTTTTAAAAGGGAGAACCTCTTTGCTGGGTGTTAAATATACAAGGTGTTGATAAACAGACTGTCAAATATCTGCTTGGTAAATCAGACTGAACATTTATTTTTAAAAATAATATATTGGTAACACTACTTGAAGCAGTCACATGTACTGTGTTATAGATACCTTCACAATGCATTATAATGGATTCATAAGGTATTATAAACATATAAACATGGCTATAACTATTTGAAACGTGTATTATGCATTATGAATGCTCTATGAAGCTCTTCTCTAATGCATTATGAATACCTTCATAATGCATTATAATGGCTTATAGTGACCATTATAATGCACAATGAAGGTATTTATAGTGTATTATAGACTATAGCTTCACAGAGCTTTCATAATGCATAATAAACATGACTATAATGTGTTATGCCTTTATAAAATATTCATAGCTGTGTTTATACTTTATGAATGCATTATAATGCATTATGAAAGTATCTATAATGCATTATGACAACTGCTTTAAGTGTTACCAATATATTCAATACAAAAAATGACGTGATGCTGCAAACATAATTGAGCCTTTATGCAGTATATCCCCTGACAAGTCATCAAAGTCTGCTGTGAAGTGGTTCCTTTGTTCTGTCATTGTCTGAAATGACTGATTCCTAATTCCACTTCTGCATTCATTTAAATTATTTCAACGGGCCTTTCTGGAACATTGGCTTAAGACTGCCATCATTTGGATGTAACGGGACAGTGCGCGTTTGTGAGACATAAGTATAGATAAAATTGTTTTCTCTACCAGATTTGTGGAATGAAGCTATGTTGGTGCATATCAGTGAATGCTGTATTTTTTGTGTAAATATAATTATGGAAACTAATAAACATTGATTTATGATTAACATTTTTCTTATTTCTGTCAGCAATTTTGGTGGTGCAGTGGGTAAGAATGTGGCATCGCCCCTCTATGGTTGTGGGTTCTAGACACAATTCTTACTCTCCTTTGTCTTCCACATGCCTGATCGGGTATCTTGTGTCTTCTTAGCCATTCAGCCTCTGTGCATAGCTTTCCCATACAAATGTTGTATTTCCATAAAAGCCTTTTGTATTAAAAGTGAAGCAAACATAATAGCTGAGCAAGAATATGATGTGTGACGGTACATGTTTATACTGCAGTGCAAGGGTGTAGATGGTAGTGACATACCTTACCAATGTTATAGGAATACAGTGTGCATTTTTTTTGGGGGGGGTGGGGGGCATTAGGCTGATTTGGTCCTTACAAGTGTTAAACAGAAAGCTATCTCCTTGCTGCAGTGTAAAACTTTGTACGCACTTGCCCTGTCAGAAAAAAAAATCCAATTTGTACCAATTTACTTACAATTGTCAGACCCTTTAGGGTACAATTACTTGTCACTGTTGCTGTACCCTCAAGGGTCTGCCAAGTGTACCCCAGCTGTAGGGAAATGTACTTTTAGCGTAATCTGAGGTGCAGAAACTGACTCTGAGGAACATTTTTGTACCATTGGGGTATTAATGTAATTTTACCTTGGGGTACAAAACTGAACAAGGGCTGTATGCTTTTTTTCTGACAGTGTAGGTGTGTGACTGTTTCATATAAGCATATCACACCATATCTAATGTATTCTTTTAAAAAATAGCCATCGAGATTAAGACTGGTAGGTTCGTCTCAGAGGGTACTACTCAAATGGTCCAGGTCAAGGAATTCAAGCACAGGATGCATGTGAAAAAATACCTAATGCATATTAGTACTTACAGAAGTGAGGCAGGACAGAAATGGCAAAACCAGACACCAGATATACTGTGGCATGATATACTGACGCTACAGAGCCACAGAGGCACAGCACACGGCACAAAATACACACGTGCTGAAGCTAAAGGAACACTCTAGCCTGATAATCACTATACCCGATAACCAAGAAGACATGTTTCAAAGAAAACCTCTTATGCAGCGCTGTACCTGTGGTCCCCAAAGCAGAGAATAAGTGCCTGACTAAAGTTAAGCTCATTTAGAGAGCACATTATAATGCATTCACAGATTTGTACTAAAGGCCAGAATTGTCATGACCCCATCCCCCTCTGGAATTTCATATGTAATACCTTAATATAAATCCTGGTAGAAATGGATGATGCATTTTAGGGAATCAGTGATATCATGCCACCAGTAGGTGGTGAAAGAGAGAGTATTAGTGCATCAGGGTTTTCAACTGTCCTAACACCGGAGACTATGGATGGAAAATGCCACTGATTTTTTTATGTTCTCAATATAATTTGCAGATCCATTATATCAAATTTTATTAAATTATACAATTTAAAAAATCAATATTTTGATATATCAGAATCCATTTTCAAAATCAAGATTTTTAATCTAAGTCCAGCTCTATCAGAGATCCCGAATGAAAACAGACTGTAATATAGACTTAATGATAATACCGGCAAGTCTCCTGGGGGTTCTCTGCAGCTACTCTACTGACCCCCAAGTGACCCCCAGGTGGAAAACCCCTGACCTAGTTCTTTGATCTTTTTCATAGTCCTGTTTACTTAAAATATTACATAAAATTAAAGAAAAATATTCATAGAACAAATTGTTCAGGACACATATCTAGCTGGTTCTCATTAGTCACCATCAACAGGATGAGCTTTAAAAAATCGTTGCAAGCACGGTGGTTTTGGGCTTCCTTAGACTCCTGTGAATAATTGTGGTTGCTTGTTTCCCATCCACACCCGTGTCGCGCTCTTTGACCTCCACTTCCTCATTCTTCACATTTCTCCATTCGCCATCTTTTCTCGCTTTGTTCCTTTGCTGTTTTGGTTAGAAAAAGAGCGAGACGGCAAAAAGAGGGCAGGGCTCACGATCAGAGAACAACGACTTCCACGTATTGGGCGCAGAATGGCTGGAGCATCTGTGCAGAATACTGTACCACTTACTGAATCTGAACAGGAAATAGCAGATAAAGCAAAGACGGCAGCGATGCAGATAGTGGAGGACGCCCTGGAGAAGAAAATGTATGGACACCCAGTCAGCTTCCACTATACCTGCTCAGAACCCCCCAGGGACCCAAAATTCTACAAATTCTGCTGCATACCTACTGAACAGCACCTAAAAGATTTGCTGAAGAAGATGGATGAGGTGAACTTCCTAAAGGACATAGGTCCAGACACTACTAATACTATCGCCTATGTCTGTGTGCCAGATGAAACATGCACAATCTACCTGTGTCCCGATTTCTGGACAGCACCTGATGACCTGCGTGAAGATTCCCAACCAGGTACCCTCATACATGAAGTCTCTCACTTCTTGGGGACCGAAGACATCTGTTACGACCTCCTGACTGTGGAGCTGTTTGAAGATCATGGCACACTGATGGGGAAGCGGAACCTTGTTGAAGACTTACAGGGAAATTATCAGATCAAGGAAGATGTAACCCTAATCAACGCAAATAGTCTGGAACATGAATTTGAGACTGTGATCAACCATCAGGAGAAGTACGATGAAGGAAAATATTTGTGCTGCAATGAAACCAAAAGAAATTCTGTCTGCAAATCGCGATTAACTGATCATTACCATTTGCATGAAAGATTTGGTATGTATATGTTGTCATACTTCTCCTGTTTAGTTGTTATACTGTGTCTGGACACCCTTCATGTTCGTAACTGCGGTGGGTTCCTCCACCACCGCTGAGCAACACTGTGAGAACGAAACTACGTACAGATGTCACTTAGTTAAATGCATTTGCCTCGTTTGACATATTCCTCCTTCTCTACAGAGTGCAGAAAAACAGAAATGGCAGCCAGAAAAGAAACGCTCTGTAACGAGAAAACTCGTGCAATTGTGCGACTAGCTAAAATTAAAGGCAGAGCCTGTCAGAGGACAGTCATCTGTGCAGCCTCAGAATAAAGATGAGCATGGACAGATGAAGACATGAAGATCATTCAGCAGAAATCGGAAACAGAACACACTTTCCTCAACTTAGACCACATCAGAAATTTTTAAAGGATGTAGTAAATTTCACAAAACATCCTTACTTTCATGTTGGGTATCTTTTATGTTTCTGTGCAAGACTCATTGCTGACCGTACATCTTTATTCCTTTTAGGCGTGGCTTGGGGGGGGGGGTGACATGCTAATTTTGCATTTCAAATAGCTTAATTTATTTTGAAAACACAAGCATCCAGCCCAGTCTAGAATTTACTATACAGCACAATTCAGAGGACATATCGGGCTGCATATCTCTACATGGCAAGACACCTATTTACACTGATCAGATTATCAATATCCTTTTATAATAACAGCACATCTTTGAAGGTGGGTGTGAAAAAATCACTTCTATAAGCATGGCGATGAGACCTATGTGAGGGGCCAGTCTCACCACTTCCTACACGGGGAACAAACTGGATTACCCAGAATCCCTGGCGAGGGTGGGGTCAAGCCATCTATACCGGTACTATAACGTCTGCGGAACTACCACATAAACCCATTTATCTCATTTACCTTGTTTAATGTGTGTCTATATGGTTCACAATACACTGTGAGCATTAAATGCCATAGAAAGGAAATCTGCTTTTCAAGAACTTGCATGGGATCAGTCATTATGTTTGTGAATGATCCTTTCATGCCATTTTTACAGAAGATTGCTAAGAAGCTCAACAGTGTAAAACTACATATGTGGAGCATATTTAAAGCGCATGCATCAGTATACCAGTGCAAATAAAGGTTTCTATATATACATTATACAATTATATTTAAAGTGCATGCAATAGTATACAGTACCAGTGCAAATATAAGTTTCTATATAAACAATTATACTCTAAACGCATGCATCAGTATACCAATGCAAATATAAGTATCTATATATAGAATTATATTTAAAGTATTGATTCTGCATAGAAGTTAGGCTCATAAACACACACCTTGCATTAAAGGCAATTCTTGACCATATTTACGGGGATGCAGACGCTGTATTTTTTTTTTATCTCAGCCTCCCTGAAAAATTACAATCCCAAATTTTTTAGGATTTAAAGTGGCAACCGTGCTGGGGGCCGCATCCCCCTGAAGTGCATTGTATGTATCCTTTTTCTTCTGTCCCATCTTACTATGATATAAATTATAATACATACTGTATGTGTACTAACTAGTGAGTGTGCCTTATGTAACTGAGAAATGCTGAATTATAATTTACTGTCTTAAAGAGAATATGATCTAGCCCCCATTTTAGATTTGATCTAGATTGGTGTTTATTTTTTATAAATTGCTAAACAAAATTTAACTGCAATTAAATTGCAAGCAGCAATATTTGTATTAACTTATGTCACTTGCTAAGGTTGTATTGGATTCTGCATATTGTGTTTTTAAATGCATGCTATTTCATACATTCTGTCTAGTTATACTGTATAGTCACATATGGACTATTTCGTCATATGCTACCTGTATTGTTTTATGTAACTGTGTGTAGTTGAACGAGTAAGCATTCCTATGCACCTATTGCTCATGGCCAATAAAGTATCTGGAATTCTAAACATTCATTTTACACAATCAACCGTACAATTAGGAGCAATAGAGAAAAGTTGCAAAGTTCAGCCCTTGGTTTCCCTGTTCTCAAGAACTTACTGGCAATTTTTGGCACAGCAGCGCCCCCTGGTGATAGGTTGACCTGCGATTTGGCGGAATAATATACCACAGAAACGAACCACTATCTCTAAGACAGCAAATGACCAGGAAAACGAATAATTACGGAATCAGCCTTGGAATTACACTTAAAGGTCATCAAATATTTAAGTGAAGTCAAAAACAACCCTGATAAGACCAGGGCCGGTATGCATATAACTTCCTAAGAATGGTCTTAAGAATGGTCGTTCACTTGGACTTAAGAGTAAAAAAAAACTTAGCAAAAAGTAGGAGCTAAGAGCATTGTATAATGTTTTATCGACCTCGCGAAAGGAAATCACAGTTTATAAAGCAAGCATGCAAGCTACAGGTTTGTGTCATTACTTATATTGCTCTTATGGCCCTCGCTATAATAGATGATGATGATAATAACAATAATAATAATTATTATTATTATTATATTTTTCCAGTTGCCAAAAACGTAGCATCATTATCAGCTTCAGTTCAACTGTAAGTGCATTTTTAGGTGACATAGGAAATTGTATCCGGTTCTTAATTAGGTTGGTAACAAAAAGAATGCCCTCATGATCGAGCCTGTACCTTTTTATCAATTCATTATTATCGTACGTCTGCAGGACGTCCTTTCTTTCACGAAAAGTACGCGGTCTCCGTCTTCGTGCGTGTAGTGCTGCTGCGATCGTGCAACTCCTAACTGGCTTAGGAGTCCTCTCCAGCTCTCTTAAATAATTTAGGAGCTGAGACCTAGTCTTAACACTTAAGAATGTTTATACATGCCACTTATTCTTAAGTCTGGGAGTAGGAGCAAAATCACGTCACTCTTAGGATTGTGACGCATTTAAGAGTGAAATTTCACTCTGAGAAGTTTTATGCATACTGGCCCAGGTATCTAAACTCTACAAGGTTATTCTCTTCCTCGTGACCTGCTTTGTACATGTCTATCTCTTCATCTTACAACTTGTCAAGCTTATTTTTTACAGGATCACAGAGGGGCCTGTAGCCCATCCAAGCCAGCAATGGACATAAAGAAACTTCCAGGGTTTCCTTCAGGATCAATAATCTTAACCTTAATCTTAATCTTAAATTCATTAAGCATTTTTGCTAGAATTTCCCTCTGCCATCAATATAGTTCATTCTAATTTTAACTCAAATGATGCCAGTCCACCCCAGGGCACATAGACTCACACTCTGGATGATTTATGGTAGCTATGTGAGATGCTCTGTCACATTACTGCCAGTCTGTGGACTGCAGGAGGATCCAGTAGCACTTAATGGGTGTGTTTTACATTTATTTATTATGTACTGCAGTGCTGATAGAGCACAAACATTGCATTTGGGGTCCCTGGTAGCATTAAAACTCCAATACCTTTAGAATGTGTTTAGCAAGTGTCGCGAGAGAGCAGATGAAGAATAAGTAAACAAGTCTGAAAAAGAGAGGCGCTAAAGGAATACCATCAAAACAGAGCTGAGATTCGAGTCTTTTGATGCAGATGTAGTTTTATTTGCACTGGGTGACTCACAAATTTGTCATCCATCCATCCATCCATCCATCCACCATCTACCTACTTATGGATGTGGGGGCACCTAGAGCTGACTTCAGTAATATAGGGTGCAAGGTTTAGATATTCCCTGGATGGAATCTCAATAAAAGTTTGTTACGCATGAAAATATTGTTAAAATATACAATATACAGAGAAGTCTGTACGTCCTTCTCCATAGATCTTTCACTGCTTTTTTCTCTCCCATTTCAGTCCGTCCTTAGTAATGACATTGTTGCCATGGTAATTTTGGGGGAATTACCTGCTTGTGTCTCTTATATCACCAAATAATGTGGTTAGATGCTATTGTCCCATATTTTTGTGAAATTTATTTTAAAAAAGGTTCATGCCATTTATTTATTTCATTTCTCGTCAAATTGGTACCGACACTTTCCACGAAATCATGTGAACTGTGTATTTGACATGTGGCATTTTATTTTTCTGTAGGGAATTATAATTATTGATCATATCTAGGCAGAAAAACACAACTGCATCCAGTGACACTTCATGTGTTGCATACACACACAGAGGCACATCATTGCTTAGCTACAGGTGGCTGCTCTCCATTGTGTGGCATTGGTAATAATGTCCTGCATCATGACCTACATACAATGGCAAGCATGTTCTCTCCAGATCAATGACAGCAAAATTCTACTTTTAATCTTTTTCATTTAACGTGTATTCATATTTATTTTATTTCATTTCACGATATTCGTTTTGCTCTCAGGTTAATTATTTGGATCTGCAGCTTCACACGTTCCTTTTGAATGAGCATAAATGCTGCTGTTTCCGTTACCTGTTTTACGAACTCAGCAGTTTGGATTCTGACCTAGTATACGGTGTAAATGCTAAGTGAAGCCCCCCGTAATAAAGGCACAGAGTCATGGGCAGGGAGTCGCTGGGGGGAAACCAGTAGGAATTGGGGGCAAGAGAGAAGTGTGGCACTGCCATTCAGGCTTCCTTGGGGTAAATGCCACCATGGGCAGGTGCCAGGCTCACAAACAAGCGGCCCACTGTCCGAATATCAATGCACATTGAGCTCCCCAGAGCTTCCACTCAGCCGACTCAGGCGCGGATTGTAGCGAAATTGCCTGAAATATGACGCCAGATTCCACCAGGGGGAATAAAACCTGTACAGAATAACAGAACAGCTGCTGTCCGCCATTTACTTCTGAAATATGAAACATAAGTTTACAACTGCATAAATATGCCATTTCAGGCAGCTGAATTTTTCTGCAATTCAACTTATAATCCCTTACAAAAAAAAATGTAGTTTGGTATGTAACGTGCGTGTGTGTGTGTGTGTGAGTTTGCATAGATCACATTTGAGGACCAAATTGTCCCCAAAGTGTAGTAAAACCTGAAATTTCCCTACTTTTGGGGACATCTTTTGAGGCTGTGCGACTCTCTTACGCACCGTATCACCGCATGTATTCAGGCCCGGGGGGGTGTGTTTTTTTTCAATGCAGCTCAAAGTATGACCGCTTTTCACATCCTACCCGGTGTCTCCGTGTTTCTCCATCTGTCATGCAGCTATTCACGTCTTATAAGATTGTTCAAATCAGGACATGCATCGGCATTTAGAATTCTAGCCAGGGGGTGCGAGGAGTTTCCTGGCATCAAGCGAATGTCGTGTCGCATCACAAAGATTCACCCACACATTCATATTACATTTTTTTAATTAAATTACTATGAGAGGAAAAAAAAGAATTGGCGTCTAATTTTACAGTAGAGCCTAAATGGGGTACAAATTGTAAAATACAAACAGTATATACAGAACAATACAAAAAAGGCAACAAATGGTCAGGGACAGATAATACCTCGCAATCCACAGGGCACACCAACAGAAAGATGCAAATAAAACTCAGGCAACGGAATCACGCAGAAATGATATACACAACGGTAGATTATCCTGTAAAATTTTCAACTAGTATACTGAACAATTGCTGCATCATTACTACCCCACCCCACCCCCCCGCAACCTAATC